AAAATGGAATTAAACTTTGTTGTCAGATAGTCTGACTCCAGAGTTAAACCTCTTAGCCAAAATACTAAATTGCTAACTCAGTGTCAGCTCATTCCCTGAGATTTTGTAAAATTTGATTATGTAACATTAACCAGTTTTTTCAAATTTTAGTATCTAAAAAATTCCTACCCACAGATATAATAACAGATATAATAATAAATCTATTCAAAACACTCCATAAAAATTAAAATAAAATCTAGGCAAAAAGCAATCTGTTAGAGGATTAATTTAGTAAACATATTGGCCTAGGAACTTGCAAATTACCTGCCTTCTATATACTAACCAATTACGCTCTTCAGTGTGTGTGTGTGTGTGTGTGTGTGTGTGTGTGTGTGTGTGTATTTATATATACATACACATAAAGTTGAATCTTAAAAAAACCCATTAGCAGTTCACCTAGAGGGTTGGTTGTTGTTGGCAATTCACTTCAAATCAAAAATTAAAAACTGAGCAGTTAATCTTAGTCCTTAAAGAAATACAAAATCTGATAGATTCAACTGTTTTCTTTCCAATTTAAAAAATGTTGTCATAAGCCATTTACTTAGATTGCTTTCTATACATTTCCAAAATTTTTAAAGGTTTTACTTATTTATTTTAAGAGAGAGAAAGCATGAGCAAGGGAGGGGCAGAGAGATAGGAGGGAGCAAGAATCCCAAGCAGGCTGCACACTGCCAACATAGAGCCCAAAACCTGAGCCAAAGTCTGATACATTCAGGTGCCCCTACCTTTCCAAATTTCAATTGTAGTGTCAAATTTGGAGAACAACACTGCCATCCAGGGATAGAGAACTCAAAGTGCAGAGCCATAAAACCAAAAACTTAATGCAGTAGTTAACAGTTGGCACTGAAACACCCAGCTATACTACAATCTGCTGTGAGTGAATTACTAACTGTTCAAATGTAATTTGAGTACAAAATCATCAGATTATAAAGATTATAAATTACACCATATTCTTAAAAAGTGAAAGGATTCCCCAAAACTTCTCTTTTACCCACTCATTCAAGTAAGAGAAAGGTGGAGCATTACAATCACCTTGTTAGTACCAGCCCATAACTTTCTTTTTTTAAAGCACTTCACTAAGATAAGATTAATCTACAAAAAACTGTACACAATTAACACACTCAACTTAATAACTTTGAAGGTGAGCACAGTATATACCATGAAGCCATAACCACACTCTATTCCATTAGCATATTCATCATCTCCAAAAGTTTATCCTGCCCTCTTTAATGCTTTTTTTTTTTTTTGAGGATAAAAACATTCAGCATAAGAACTATCCTCATAGCAATTCTTAAGTATATGATATTGTTAACTATAGGCATTATGTTTCATAGTTGATCTCTAGGACTTATTCATCTTATATAATGAAATTCTGTACCCTTTGACTAATACCTGTCCATCCACATTTCCCTCACTCCAACCCCTTGCAAACGCCATTCCAGTCCTTTCTTCTTTGAATATGACTGCTTTCAATTCATAATGTACATATTTAATGTTGTATTTGTCCCTCTGTGTCTGGCTTATTTCACTTAGCAAATGTCCTAATATCAATTGTTACCCAATATCTAATGATAGAAACAGAGATCAATGGGCACGTTAGATAAGGAAAAGATTGATTTAAATTTTTTTTTTTAAAGTCTTCAGAGAAAGCATGAGTCAGGGACAGGAGCAGAGAGAGAGAGAGAGAGAGAGAGAGAGAGAGAGAGAAAGAGAGAGAGAGAGAATCTCAAGCAGGCTACTGCTCAGAGCAGAGCCAGATGCAGGGCTCGATCCCACTATCCAGAGATCATGACCTGAGCCAAAATCAAGCATCAGATGCCTAACTGACTGAGTCACCCAGGTGCCCTGGAAAAGATTACTTTTTAGTTAATTTTCTTTTCTCAAAGAAAGTGGCCTCAATTGTGTCCTCTACCCCTACTCCAACCTATACATTGAAGCTAAAATCCCCAAAATGTTGGTATTTAAAAATAAAGTCTTTAGGGAGGTAACTAAGATGAATGAAGTCATAAAGGTAGAGCCTGAATCCAACAGAATTGGTATTCTTAAAAGAAAAGCAAGAAATACCACAAAAGTCTCTCTCCAGGTGTGTCCATTCGAATGGCCACATGAGGACAAAACAAGAAGCGGCCACTGCAAGCCAAGAAGAGAACTTCAACCAGAAACAAACATGATGCCACCTTGATCTTGGACTTGTACCCTCCTAACTCTAAGAATATAATTTCTGTTGTTTGAGCCACCCCATATGTGTTATTTTGTTATGGCAACCCACATAGACAAAAATAGTGTGATTTGACAAACTTTTGAGAAACCTAAAAATGGAAAACTTGATTCCCATTGAACATGTTGTTGGATCCTTACTTCCACTAATTGGAACACTGTAATAAAGAGGTAAGAGGTCTCACAGTAGTTGCTTTTAATAATAGAATTGTTCTTTCATGTATCTGGCAGCATTTAACTGATCAGGTCAACACTTCAGGAATAAAAGGAAGAGGTGTTTTCATGTGTTGCTTTCCAGAGACACTTGTACCCTGATTAATACAAATACATTGTTATTACTAGAGGAAATGCATGTAGCTTAAAAGAGCAGGTTAGTAGAATCATCTTTGCAAAGAATCAAGATAATTTTTGAGATTGTACCATCAAAAGGGGGAAATGGTTTGACTTGTTAGCGATGTATCAGGGACAATGGAAAACTACTAGTAGTTTAAAATGAGCATCTAAGGTTGCTAAAAGCTTATAATGTATGAGAATAGTTTTTACAGAAGAAATTTCAAGTCAGACTATTGTAAGTAATATAAAAAATGAGGTGATGATGAAAAAAAATTAACTTCTGTTGGGAGTTACGGAAAGGATTCTTTAAAAGGACGGATGGAACTTAATCCAGTCTTGAAAAGTAGCCATTGAGAAAGCAGATCTGGCATGTGGAAAGGCAAACGAGAGAGCCTGGGCCAAGAAAAGGTAGAAAACAAACCTTGAAACTGAGAAGATTGAAGTGTTGGACAAGAGGAGTCATCCAGAGAAAACACTACAGGGCCTTTAAGAACTACAGACAAACTTCATATTAAGAATACATTTTCTGAATTATTATGGAATCATAAAAACACCTTGTCCCAAGTTAAAATACATATTTTCCATAAAGCTGTACACTTATCTTTAAGATGCCCTTTCCTATGTACTCATGTATGGAGTGCCTACCACCTACCTAGGTTGAAGAAGCCATTACATTCCAGGAGTTCAGCTTTAATGAAGAGAAACAGATGACTAAGGAGACAATTACAATTTAATGTATGGCTTATTAATGGCAAAACTACCTTTGTGCAACATTATTCAAAGAGGAAGTCAACCATCAATGATTTGTGCCCAAATCACACAATAAACTAAAAAAAGAAGAAAAAAAAAAACAACCACAATACAAGTCTGAGTTAATGTAATTTGAATACAGAATCATCAGTTAAGAGCACGGACTCTGGACACAGCTGTCTTTTTTGGACAGAGGCGCCTAAGGAGGCCTAGCTTAAATGTTCTTTCATCAGTCTTGAAATTGTCAATTTTATCTGTGAATTTGGGTTTTGTAAGTGAAGTCCAGTGTGACAATGAAACGTATCTCAAGGGTTTAGTCCTGGGTCATTTTTGGTCTTGCCTCCCACATATTCCAGTTGGATTCTCTGGCTTCCCACTTTCCTGCCTCTGTTCAGCAACTGCTGCCATCTTGTTACAAAACATGCATCCTATCCTGAGTCCTGGGGTACAGGTCCCAGGCACCTGTAAAGGTCTGCACTAGATTCACCAATATGCTTGTGCTTGACAGAACACTACATTACATACCAAATAAAAACAAAGGACAGACAGGTCAAGAAACACCATGCAAGACATGAAAAAAAAAAAAAAAAAAAAAAAAGGAAAACACCTTTTTCCTACTTTTTCAATGAGGGGTCTTACATTTTCATTTTGCACTGGGCTCCGCAGATTTATGTAACCATCCCCTCAGTCCTGTGGCAGTGGTTGGCCCCAGCTAGGAAACTATGGGTAAGACACTTGGCTCCTCCGAAGTCAGTTTCCACATCTGTAAAAAATAAGAATAGTTCCTATCTCATCGCATGTCTGTATTTTGGAGATAATTCATGTAAAGCTTTTGCCCCAGCCTCTGACCCATTTTAATGATCAATATTACCAGGTGTTAAGTATTAATTCAAAGATTATCTAATTCAGATTTACTCCTTAATGTCTCTTCAACCTGCAGGCAAATACTTCAAACAGTCATTCCCTTAGGCAGTTGCAAACGTGCTTTTAAAGTTTTCCTCAAATGTTCAATTATTTGTTTCCTTTTCTAAAGGGAAAAATCTATTTAAATCTACTTAAACAGCTATTACTATTATTATATTAGTATTAAATCTATTTAAACGTTCGTTACCTAAATTCAAACCTTATTACAGTGTGCAGAAAAAATAGGTCCACGCTTCAGCTATAGTATGAGCCTCGGGGGCGGGGGGGGGGGGCGTTGGGGAGAGCTGCATCTAATTAGGGCTCCTTGTGAAAAGCGCAAGAATGTTCACAAACCCCAGATAAAAATTCGGTGCAAAAATTGGTCACTCAACTGTTCCTTTCATAAAATGTCTTTTCACTCCCCACTGGGACACAAAAACAAGGTTTTTAACAGCCGAGCCAAGTCTACCAACAAATATAATAAAATAAATAAGCATCTTAAAAAACTTCCAAATTTGCCGACAGTTCGAGCCTCCTCTGAACCACCTGCGCAGGCTCGGTTTCCATAGGAACGTGCAGTTCCGGCGCGTAGCCCTTCACTCCGGAAGTCGTTCTCACTCACTTCCGTTCTGTCCCTGAAAGAGTCAATCTCCCTTCTCCTCAAGCGTCGTCGCGGAAAGTTGGTCGGTGAGTTTTGGGCCACAGAGCGTGCCGTAGAGGGGCGTGGCGACGCACCAGCGATTTGATTCGCAGAGTTCACGTGCTGGTCGCAGCGCTTCTTGAACCCACCATGGCTCAACAGGGGAGTCTAAACCTCAATAACGAGGTAGGCGCCGAGGTCTGGGAACTTGTGGGACTGCCCTTTAGTACCCTCCCTCCCCCCACGAACGGCTCTTTGGGTCTTTCTGACAGGCGCGTGGTCTCCTGGGGGCGAGGGTAAGGAGTGCGGCTGAAGGAGCCGCTGGGTGGGCCCAGGCAGGTTTACCGGAACTCGGAGCCTGGTCACAGTAACTTCCCTTCACGGTTCCGAGGTGGCTGAAGCAAGAGACCTGTCTCTTGCCCTTGGGCCCCATGAATTTTTATCTCTGAGACGTTGGGAGTATCATTTAATCTTTATGGTAACTGTCCGCGTTTGTAAAACGAAGCTCTTGATCCTTTCTTCGCAAGGATGTTGTGAGCAATTAATTGGAATATGGGAAGTGTTTGCACGGTGCTGGACAGCTAATAAACTGTCATTAAGCGTTACCTGCCTTTTATCGGGTGCTGAAAGTGAAGGCGGGAGGTTAAGAACTCTAGCTTATACTAAGAGATTGCTGATCTACAGTGAGATCGTGTCGTTTGTAAGGAGGTACACTCAATACCATGTTTCTTATTGCAACTACTGTCCCATTTCTCTCCTTTCATTTACAGCAAAATTTTTAAAAAGAGTTGTTTATACTTGCTGTCGCTAACTCCCCTTCTCTCGTTCTCTCTTAAATTCAGTCTGAAACCAGGTATTTGCTCTTATCACTGCTAACGTATCGTGTCTGTGTCACTAGGCTACCATTTCTAGCGCTATCCCCTTTCCAGTTTCTGGTTCTATTTAAGGAATCATAAGACATCTGAAGATTTAAAGTAAGCTGGAGAAGCAAGAATCAAATGAGGACCTCCCAGCTAATGCAAAGGAGGTTTTTTATCCTGTATTCAGTGGCTCTGTGTTTGCTATGAGCATGATCTACTGTTCACCTTGCACAGTTGTGTGTAGACATACTTTGTATTTTCAGGCAACCTGTAGGTTGCAACTCAGATAGGAAAGGGTAAGCAGCACCCGCCTATGGTATAGAATAATGCCCAGAAAGACAAGTAGTGCAGAAAAGTTTCCAAAGAAGGCTAAATGAAGTGATTATTCTTTGTCTTTAAGGATCTTAGACTGGCATTGCAGTCAGTGATTCACTGAAGGGAAAAAAGCATTCCAGGCAAAAGGACTGGTGTAAACCAAAACGAGATGGTAGTAGGGACCCCCTTGGGTAGTATAGGGCTAGGTAACTCTCCATTGATGAGAACGTGTGGATGAAGTAGGAAATTAAACTAAAATATATTACATACTGCCCTACTTCCAGGTTAATGAGTCTAGATTTCACTTGGCAGTGGAGTACAGATACATCGAAGGGGGAAATCCTGAAGATCTTAGCGTATATTTGTAAACATACATTATAATTTAAAATAAATGGGAGGGAAAATTTACAAAGGGAAAAACAAGCATAGAGTTGTCCATATAAAAATGAGAAATATCCTGAAATTTAAGAAAGACAGCCAATTACAAAATATATTTATATAGCAAATATGACAGATAAATGGCTAATGTCATTACTGTTAAATAGTAGTTAGGAGAAACCGTCTCATAGAAAATTGGTAAAAGAAATGAAATAACTCCTCCAAGGAAGAAATGTATCAGAAAAAGAGTTCACTATCTTAATCCATTACTTTTTCGTTACCGTCCCATCCCAGTCCAAGTTATATCTCTGACCAGAACTGCTTACTAGCCTTCCAACTATTTTCCTTGGTTCTTCTCTCCCTCTAGTCTGATCTCCATAGTGCAGCTAGGGAGAGTGCTCGCTTCAAAATAGAAATCTAATCCCATGACTCCCTTGCTTACAGCCTATTTGACGGCTTCCTGTTGCTTTTGGTAAAAACCTGCCTAAACAAGACCAGTCCCCTCTCCCCCTTCTAGTACACCACTGCCTCCCACCCCACACCCTTCTTCAGCCTCACTGGCCTTCCTCTACTAGGAAGCGTCGCACTCTTACTCCTCCTTTGCGCGTATTCTCCCTTGTACCCAAAACTCCTTTTCTTCTCATTAGTCCATTTCATATTTCTACTTTACTTGTTATTTTCTCAGGATAACTGAGTTTGACTTTATCCTTTTATCCCTTCTATAAGCGTTTGTAACTCCATTTACTTTTTAGCTCTTATAATAGTTGCTTAGGGTATATGTGTGTGAATGTGAGAGAGGTTTCTTATTTCCTCCATTTATCTGGAAGCTTTTTGCTCACCATCATATCTACCCATCTGTTCAGTGAGTAACTCGAGCCATCATTTTTATGATTCTTAATAACTTAGATTAGCTCTCCCTAACTGAGATTTAGGAATTCAGGGATCCAATAACTGCCTGAAATTATGTGTAAATTGGTGTTTATATGTGTGTCTCTGGGCGGGGGGGGGGAGAGTCCACAGGTTTCAACAGATTCTCTCTCTTCTTTTTAACTTTACTTATTTTGAGAGAGAGAATGTGCGAGCAGGGGAATGACAGAGGGGCAGAGAGAATCCCAAGCAGGCTCGATGCTGTCAGCCTGGAGCCTGACACAGAAATGAATCCCATGAACTGAGGGATCATAACCTAAGCCAAAACCAAGAGTCAGATGGTTAACTGACTGAGCCACGCACACACCCCAGATTCTCAAATGTTTATAAATCTCTGGTATTATTTTTGTGATATTGATACTCATTATCTGTGCAAAATTTTTAAGGCTTTTTCTTTTAATAAATTATGTGGCCGTCTAATTTATAGTATGTTTAATTTTCCAAAATATCTTTTGTGAAAATAAAAAGCCTGCCTGCACAGGCACCTATTGTACTGACTTTCATTGTCTTCTACCCTTAATGTTTTTATTCTTTTCAAAAATTTTCCAAGGAGAAAAGCTGACATTTATAGACAACTTCCTGATTCTCAGTTCTTAAAATAACGTTTATTCTTTTTAAGTATGTAAAATCTTCCCTTTTTAATTTTACCTCTATTTTTCTTTTAAAAAATCACTTTATACTTCACTTTATGATTATCTACTACATGTTTTATTTTGACCTGTAGTTTATGTGGAGTTCAAAGTGAGACTATCTAACTGACTTCTTACAGCAGCTTCCCTGACTTTAAGCATAGTACCTAGTTTGTACAGTTAACAATGAGTAAATAGTGTTGGGCAGAGGACAGTATGGATAGCTCAACCTGAGGTACTTCATGTTCACATGAGCGATGGAAATCTCCTAACTGTAGACTTTTTTTTCCTCCCTCTCCATTGAAGTGGAGAAAGGATGCACAATTGAAACAACAATGCCCTAGCATGTAGTAAGTACACAATTCGCAAAACTAGTGCTGGATTTGCTCCAGTCATCTCTTTCTTTAGGCAGCAGTGACATGCACAATCAGAATTAGGAGGTGAAAAAATCTCATTATGAACTTTAATTCCATAGGGGGGCCAAGGGCCTTTATGTGAAACAGACATTATTTTGTTTCTGATAGCACATTACCAAGAAGCTCATTAGAAAATTGCTTTCTACCTCCTCTTAGATCCTAAACGTGAAACAGAATTGCCAGAGAACAAAGTGATTTGTCTCCATGTATTGTAAAAGATAAAAATGTCAAGAACCGTGTTTGTATGTGCTTTTGAAGTTGCAAAGCTTCTATTTCATAATTGAGTGTGTAGTCCTTTTTAATATTTTTTACTGAAATAGTAAATGAGGGTCTGTCCAAAAGAAGGAACTGTTTTCTGTTCTGTTGTTAAACTATTCTGAGAAGTTGTGCTAGGTGGCAGCATATGCTCAATGATTAAGTTATAATCACCAAGTATTCTAGAATTTTTAAATTGTTGCTCGTCAAAAATAAAAAAGTATAATTCAACAGTAAATTATCCAAGCGGCCAAATTAGAAGTCCTCTGTATAATTAATACCATAATAACTAATAATAAGTTATCCTATCATAATTAATTGTATCAAATATGAAATTGTTCAGTCATATGGAAAATGACATAACAAATGTCCCTATAATCTCATTCTTGTGTTTAGCAAGTGTCAATGTTTTGCCATATTCTAATGCTTAATTCCACTCACCTTCTTCTCTGTTTCAGAAGTAATTATTATTCTTTCAGTGTTATTTTATTATCTATATGTTTAATTTAGTAGCATATTTACCAGCATGTATTATGTTACGTGTACCCACAGTGTTTATGTTGTATATTTTTATACTTTACATGTGTTACTGTATTAATGCAGTGTCATACCACATGTATTGTTCTAAAAATTACTTTTCATCACTTTTAGAGTTTACTCCTAATTATACTTGCATATGTCCTGCATTGATTTAGAACACCACATTGTTTGTGCTTTATTTATATGCATTATTTTATGTCTAATGTAGCATTTTATAGGAAGGCTGCTGTGAACGGTCCTGTGTGTAGCCATTTCCTATTGTTGGAGATGTATCCTCTGGATAGATTTCCTAGAAATAGCATTTTTATCAGGTGTTGCCAGAGTTCCCTCCAGAAGTACACTAGTTTGTAGTCCTCTATCAATAGCATGTGAGAGTGCCTATTTCCTAACAGCCTCATGGACATGATGTGCCATGATTGTGTGTGTGTGTCGCGGTCTGATAGATGGGTAATGAAACACAGGTATGCTCAGATTTTTCTTAGCACTGCAAGCTCCCCTAGAGCAATACAAGGTCTAAGGAGCAATTGTTTTCTAATAACTCTGGGATTTTGTTATAGGTTAATTTAAATGCATGACAAAGTCAATGAATTACCAAAAGACGCTGGCTAGTAGTCTGGTTCTCAGGTAGCTAACAAGGGTCAATTCAGAGTAGTATTTACTTTTATCTTGGGACCGTAGTTGCTCTCAGCTTTATATATCAGAAACTTGGTATCCTTGTCACCCCAAAAGTATAGCTCACTCTTTCAAAAGCAAATTCACATTAACCGTAGCTTATAAGAGTCTGTATAAGTGAGAAAGCTAGTTTATTAAATGTATCTAATGTAGGACAGTAATGCTTACATTGCAAAAGATTCTTTCACTGTCTG